CCGAATGCCCGTGTGTTAGTCTAGGTTTATATGTAATACGACAAAGCTAGTCAGCGAGAGAGAAAGAGAGAGAACAAGAGAACGTAAGAATGATGGACAAAATCAGTCGGAAGCATGTAATAATATTTGACAACCAGCGACCCCTTAGAAGCGAGGGAGACGAATCCGAGGTGAAGGCGTCGATGGCGCATGGATATTGGAAGCCTGGACGTGAGCAAAAACCCGAGACGGATATAATCATGGGAAGCATGACGATCATCGTAAATGATGATGACACGTAACTGTGGAACGTTCCTAGCGGCTGTGCCGAGGTTGGAGGTCGCCGTGAGAAATTTGATGAGCAGCACGAGAATCGGCTTGAGCTCGGCTGAGAAAACAACATGTGAACATGTGTGCTTTGGTGATACGTTGAGCGCCGATGTACGCAAATGGCAAACGACCTAGCAGTGCGGCACCAATAAACCAACGAAAAGTTACAATAATTACAGTTTTTTCATTCCTTGTTCTTGTCGTTGTTTTCGAGGGCGTCTGCATGCCGAATTTCCTCACCACCGTCCCAGCCCTCGTGGGTCTGAAGCGCTCGCCTGTCGTCAATTCGCGTCGCGGACGCCCTCTCTGAATGGCATGGTACTATACAAAATTGCAGTGTCTCTCCGCAGTTAGGCGTGCTCGGAAGGGCGAGTACATGGCCTTCGGAACTCTTCACTCTAGACCTGAAGATTCAACACCTCACAGCTGATGAGTTGAAATTCGCAGACATGAATGGCAGCATCGAAATCCCCCGCTCCAGACCCCTGGGAGGGTCCATTTCCTTTCAGAGAGTTCACCGCGAGTATCACAAAACAAATCGAAAAAAAAATCGGTAAATAATTCTCGGAACTTATCTCTGCTCCGACCAGAGAGCCCTTGCCGGCAGGGAACCACGATCTTCAGGAATTTCCGCTCTTATCCAACTTGCGTAGGATATTCCCGCCGCTGGAGGACTAACTTCTCGAATGGTTCTGCACCGGGCTATGTCTTCCACCCTTACGAACAACCAAAAATGGACGGGCTTGTTAGTACCGTCTGAGGAATCCCGGGAGTCGAACCGATTTGTGAATCCGAGACAATGTCGGGGATTACTACAGAAAAGAGTTTGAGGATGTCTGTGACCTACTTATTCAAACTGATCGAATATTCCTTGTTCTGCTGTGAGCTCTCAGAGGGGCATTCGGTTCTCCGGCAACGGGGGAGGGTCATCATCTGCTAGGAGCATCGATACTCAGTCAGAGCCGATTACCGCAGAGTAGGTCACCGCATCAAGCACTCTGACTTGGGAACGTGAATCTTCTTCCCGTAGAGTGCCGCTCCGACAGAAACTCGCTCGGAAAGTTACGCCAGGGTTTCCGCAAGGGGTCCCAAGGGAGAAATCATTCCAGTTGTTGGTTAGGAGGCGGGTCTCCCGGCGTTCATCCCACAGAACCATAAGCCTGCTCACTGAGATTCGACCCCGAAAACGATAGTCTTCCGCTCGCCCCCAAGACGGTCGAGTTCGGCTGCGTGGATCAGCCCTCAGCCCTGATAAAGCGCTTAAAATCAGCGACCTACGGTACGATCGCGCCTGACCGCTCCTTCGACCTTTGCGCGGACATTAAGGCGTGTGGTTCATCAGCAAAGCTAAGTGGAAGCAGTTTTATTCCAACACTTCCGGAAACGAGCATTTTCGACAAAAAGTGAATACTTGCACAGGGACGAGGGGGGGAGGGGAAGTCCCCGGGTCCAACCGTCGAAAATCTAGGGATCGATTCACAATCGAGTGAGGAGTGTGGCTGAGTGAGAGATGACCCACAGCGTCTGATGGAATCGGAACTAGCCTCCTAAGGCATTCATTTTGAGGTATGTATGATGGAGAGTGGCGACTTTCCAGGTCTCATCCGACCGTCCCGCTCCGTCTACTATCATATAATCCTTCTTCCTGCAGTCAAGCTACTACGTCTCTTGAATGTTATTCTAGCTGCTATCGGGATGACTCTTGGGAACAACATCGCTGATCCCGAGCGAGAGCGCATTAGCGGCCCTAATCTAGGAGCAGGCGAGTGAGCAGCAGATCAATCATCGGAAGCACAAACTTTCTACTTCCAGAATAAGACCTCGTTGAACTTCGAGATGTAAGCGTCGTCATAGCGAACGACCAGTAGTCGTTTCCGAGACTGGGAATCGTGTCGCTCTAACGAACTGAGTCGGTATTGAAGGCGCAGCAAGCAGAATTTATAGCTGCGCCTCAAGCGCTGTTAATCGGGTGGATTGAATACGTGAGCCTGCCTCACGGCGGTGTCCATCGAACTTCTGCTCTCAGCAGCGATCATACCGAAAGATTGTCCGTGATAAAACCGGAATAGACTCTTACGACGGAGGAATCTCCGACGGCCTCGGCAGGCTGCCAGCCCGCTAGCCGAACTGGTGGTGGGAGATTGGGGCAAGAGGCTAGCTGACTTAGATCCTCTCATTTGGTAATGATCGTCACTGAGTTTCATAGCCATCTATAGCGCTTCCCTCTCTTGCCCTATTTGCCGAGACCTTGAAGCTCCACCATTGTCATACGCCCTCACATACTCGTTGGTCGTCCGGTGGCCTGCCGCTGGGTCTGATCGTCGCCTCCGCCGTCGTCAATGTCATTTTCGGATCCCTCATTCGACGGAGGCATGAGAATAACTTGTTCCCGGCCGAGAGTAGCAGCCGACGCTCATTTTTCCTCTCCTGAATAGAATTCGGCCGTCCGACCGACCTGGCTGCCTCCCCTGAAGCTCCGATCAGGCAGTCGGAGTAGCGACTCCGAAGCGGAGCTGCAGAGACCGCGCCATACCCAATATATTATGGAAATGGTCGGAGCGATTCCGATCCGATAGCGTTCGCGATCTCTCGCGCTGTCTCCGGGAGCGCTAATTTGAATATGTACGCCGTTCGTTGTTGAAGCAATGTCGAAGCGAGCGCTGCTCCAACGCTTCCTCGGACCTTTTGCGGCGGCAATGGTATCAGCTGCGATTCTTTGCTTCGTATTGTCAGGCTCCGTCGCCGGTGAATCGCACAGCAATAATAATCGGAACCGAGCGCGGAACGCGATTGTGTGCCAGGTAGGAGGAGGATTTGCATTGACACGCGTCGTCAATGTTAGCCTGGCACACTGTTCACGCGACTCGACGGATCGCAATAAATACTCCCCTCATAATAACGTTCGGCCGGCAAAGTTCCTAGGCCTCCGGACGCTCCAAGTCTGCAGCAACCGACAGAAACGCTCCTCATTTTCGCAAGGAAGAGTATTCAGCAGTACTGTGCTCCGGATGTGTTTGACCTCCGACGTTTAGCGACTCCCCATCGGTTCACTGAATATGCGAAAGACCGAATGTGAACTGATTTCAAAATGTAATTGAGGACTGCGGCCTCCACTAATAATAATCGATCACGAGGGAGCATTCGAGTTTTCGATGGGGAGCCTTTCGGAGCGATTCTAGTCAGACCGCACGCCCAATCATCGAGTCTGCATATCTTCGGACTTTAGGCCTTCAAACTGAATAGGGGAGGATGCTTCCCCGACCCCGCCTCTGACGATTTCCTCTCGGATACGCAGGGCATCCTGCAACATGTTCGACGGAAAATACTTCGTCGGACACGTTCCTTTCGTTGTGAAATATCCAACTCCTGATTCATCCCATGCATCGTCGTGGTTGTTCTCAAATACCCTCGAATATTTGTTTTAAAATCACAATATCCTTTTTATATTATTCCTTACACTCTCTTACGGATACACCAACAAGAAGTATTCAAGTGGAGGATTGATTCTTTCACTATTTCTTGATGAAGATGGATATGAACAATATCTAGACATATAAGGATATTCTGCGCAGCAGAGGCTCTCTTCTCCGAATATCCAGCCATCCCATCCACTTCCCCATTAGTCTGAATACATCGATGAAACATTGGCACCCAACATGGATGTTGGAATTGTGTGACTTCCGATCGGCGGAGAAGGCTGGGACCCGGTGCTTCTCTGCAGAGTTGAGAGTCAAATACAATAATATTAAGAATACTTTCCGTGCGCTTCGAGCGATATCGCACTTAAGAGTTTGCCTTCGAACAAGTCTGAACCAAGAATAAGTAAGTCCTCTGACTCCAATTCAAACATCAATGGATCATTCGTGGGTGTATCAGCATTAGAACGACACGTTCGGAGGAGGAGGATCACTCCCGTGAATTGGAATATGGAACCGCGAAAATTAAGGGGAATGTCAAGAATAGCTCACGGGTCAGCTCATTGCATCAGCTTCGCCCGCGCATTCGGCGCAGAGGTCATGGGGGATCTCGCGCGCACTCCATGGGGAGTTTCAGTTCAGTCTCCTTCGGGCGGAAAGTCATTGCGTCATTTGTATCGGATGGAATCGTTCGCAGACCTCGCGGGATAAATTAACCACTCAGTCAGTGCCGGGAATATCAACAGCTTTTCTCTTTATCGAGGTCGGTATTTACAGATACGGCGTAAATACAGTCATTCGGCTCCTCAGACATTTCCTCAGAATGCGCTGAAAAAAAGGTTTATCATCTAATGGAAAGCGCGATGGATGATTGGCAGAGAGCGGAGCAGCGCCCGTCCTCAGCGGTTTTCCGGAAGCAGGATTTACAAATTCGTCACGTCAAATGAGCAGTCGCGATTAAAGTAGCTACATAAGTCCTCTGAAGATATCATACATTTGGAAGAATGTGTGAGTTCCACGCAGGTCGACGGTTATCTTATTTTTGCCCAGTCCTCAAACCAGCTATCACAGCATTAGTCACTCTCGTGTGACTTTACGGTATGTACAATGCGCGGTCACGAGGGAACACTTCTATTTCGCTTTTAGACGGGAGAGTGGTCGTATGCCCGAAGCACATGAGACGCTCGCTTCGTGTTGGGACGACTGCACGCCTCCGTCTGCTGGCAGCGAAGAGTTCCGAGAAGTTTCGGACTTGAAATTGTTTGGCAATTGTTCTTATAGACACGTTCCCACATTGGTGTTGGGTTTCCAGCAGTCGCCTTTATGCTCATTCTCGCGAATAGTGTTCTGCTGACCCTTGCCGCCCAGCTGGCTTAAAGAGACTAGGGCTGACGCGATTGCGATACCTGGAAGGAAGTGGGGCATAGACATCACTCCCTGAGAACAGATTCGCATTGGGATCCCCGCATACCAGAAAATAAATCCCCCCTCGGCAAAAACATCAGCAGGCTCTATTCTTCTATGAGCTAACCTGACTGTCCCTGTGGTACTGAACTGTCCTGTCGTGGTAATCGGACAATGAGCGAAATGACGGCAGCTTTGCCGGAGGCACACGGCTCCAGGGCTACAGGGGTTGGTCTTCCCTGGTGAAGAGTGCCGAAACCTCCGTGTCCATGCAAACCGTACGGAGGTGACTGGAGTTCCAGAGTGACCCCCGCAAAAGGTCGGCTAGCCATCTGTTCCATTTCAACAAACAGTTGCTGGAAAAGAGGGAATCGGTTTTTGTCAACAGTCCGGGAGCAGAAGTCCGCAGTTCCTTCCGGAGGGCGGGATGGAGTACGTATGATACGACCGCGTATAATTAGAGTTCCTTTTCGGACATTTTCATTTTCCGACTCTCGAATAAGGATAGATTCAATTGCGGCATTCTTATTCTAGTCTTTCCCACATCGTCCGGCGACAGGGAAAACTCATCAGAGGCGATTCCCTCGTCCATGTGATCGTCGGTCTTCGCTCTTGCGGATTGGATAGATATGAAAAGTCCGAAATTCAGGAACTCCACGTATAATCCAATCCAGGACTCGCCGTATCGAGGGACACGGAGACACTTACTTGGCGCCTTCTGTAGAGATCATATTTCTGCTTGATTTTCCACAACACCGCAGCAATGAAGAGCAGCGATACGAAGCAGCTATAAAATATCGAGGTATGCGTTATTTGCATGGCTTAGTACTGACGGAACGCGCATCGTACGCTCGTCTGTTTATCACTCAGAGCGTCTTTCGAGCTTCGCGACGCAGGAGGGGTCGAAGCGGCCGTCGGTTCCGAGGAGTTCCACGCAGTTAGCATGTTGAGCTGCTGTCGAGTCACTGAGAATCGACAACAAACAAAACCAAAGCCGAAACACTAGTTCCATTCGCGCGATTTTACGATGCTCTTCACCAGCCGCGAATCGCTCGTTGCCCGGAGACGCCTAACCTTGTGCGAGCACTCGGAAAGAGAAAGCGTCCCGAGCCCGCTAAGGGTCCCACTGGTGAGAGATTTATAGGAAAGCGCGAACGATCTGGACGAGCGAAACACCAGAAAGCAATAGAATAGCGGCTGACTCTCGTCGAGGGTCTGGAAGTCGACAGTTTTGAGGGATTCGTGCCCCGAATTCCACCTCACCGCCGAACTTCGAAGGCTTTCCAGAGGCGTATCGAGAAACTCTTTTCCCTCTTTTCCTCTTTTCCCATTTTCCCAAGCAGGTCAACATCACGAAGCCTAGGTCGCCGGAGGGAGACACCGAATAGACGAGGAATGCGTTGCTCCGGAATCAGGAGACGAGATAAACGCAAATCGATCACGGGATTCTTCGAATTTTATCGAAATAACACAAACCTAGAGAAGGTGATGAAGAATTGCAACAGATCCAGTGCCCTGTGTTGCGAAAAAGCCACCTGTATCACGGCGGGAGTGGTGAGATTGAATACGTGGACGTACAGCGTGGCATTTCGCGTGCCGAACTTGTATTCTTCGTGCGATAACGGCATCTTGAACGAGCCGCAAGTGCGAGTTTGCGACACGGGTGCCAGGATCCGGGGATCGCCGGTAGTATCCGCTGTCCCGACTCCGATGGAAATGTTTACAAGGGCTGGAGTTGAGCAGGATATTTGGAATTCCACGTCGTGTCCCACCTGGAAATCAAAAGGAAAAGATCGACTCTTTCAGAAACTATCTGCATGGCTCCCGCTGTCGAGTGCCCCCATTCTCGTGATGATGTCGAATCGGTATGGATTTCATCCCGCATCGGATATGTATTTCTATGGAAAGCGCGGCTGGCGTACTCACTCTCGGTGGCATGTTCATGAAGTTTATCGAAGTGAAAGGATCTTCGTGTGAGAGATTGAAGGTGTACTGAAAGTCTATGCTCAGTTTGTAGAAGCAGGTTCCCCCGTTTCCAGGGTTTCCCCAGTATTGATTTGTATTATCGCATTGATCGCATTGCTTCCCGATGATTCCCTTCGTAGTGCAGTCGCATTTCCCTGCGGAAGAACAAACTCGGAATCTCGGCCGGACAACTTAGAAGCTCGGCTACCCGATCCTTCCTATCCACGATGAACATTCTCAGAAGCCTACCTGTCTCGTGATGACAATCTGTACCGTGACCATTGCAATCACACGTCTGACACGTGCCGCCGTTGACAGGATTGCCGTAGTAGCCCTTTTGACAGCGCTCACAATGAGTTCCTTGAGTGTTGTTGCTACAAGGCATGTTGCACTCCGCCGAGCCCAGGTCACACGAGCTGTGGCCGTTGCATTGGCAGGCCGGACAGTCGAGGAAATGCCAGTTCGAGCACTTCATGTCTGTTTCTGAGACGTTGAGCGGGACATCGATTCCGGTCACCACGGGACCCGTGGCGGCACCCTCCATGCATTTGCCGCGTCCCGAGCCGCTGCCGTCGTCGCACCAGCCGCATCTTTCGTGTTGGAGACATTCGCTGCACGAGCGTATGCGGGAACAGTAGACCTTATCACATTTGCTAGTTGACCATTCGGTGCACTGACCGACCGGGAACATTGCCGCATACGCGTTGGTTTCGAGACACCTGCCGAGATTCGCGCACCACATGCAACCCGAGTTTGCGGTGCAATTGTTGCAGTCGGTCTTCTCGGAGCAGTGTTTCTCGCATTCTGCTCTGAAGTCTTCGCTCACGGCCCGAGCCGTCTTGTTGCCTGAGAATAATCCAGAAATGACCGATCGACTTCCGAGAGTAGGAGGTTGATGGATAGCTCGTTACAGCAACGAACGACGCTGACCTTCAATAGAGATGAGATTGATGCATCCGTTGTTCTTCTTGAACGCACAATTCTGGTCCGTGTGGCATGCGTGACAGTTATGTAGCTTGTCGCACGCGAGGCTCTCGCTTTCGGTGCACAGCTCCACGCGATTTTTCACCACGGCCGACGGGGACTGCTTCGGACACTTTTTGTGATGACACGTGTTGTCACACCACACACAGTCGAGGCTGTGGAGGGACATTATTTCCTCAGAGGGCTGGGAAGCGAGAGCGTGAGACACCGACCGGCGCGGGAGGCCGGAGCGGTGAACTCTATCCTCATTATTTGCACAGACCAGTCACTCGGGGTCGACTCACCTGTTTTGTAGGCAGCTCCTGCAATTCGTCTGTTTCGCGCAGATGTGAGTGAAGTTCAGTGGTAAGCTGGTTGGATTTATCCAGGAACAGTTGGCGCCCTTCTTCTGAGGGTAACCTTTCAGGTTCTCGGCGTTGTGGCGCATGCATCCTTCGCCGGGCGCCAGGATGCATTTTGTCCCATGAACGAGAGACATGGACAGACATTCTTTCTCGAGAGCCTCGCAGTGTGCGGGCGTCAGCTTCAGCGTGTCGGACAACATGCGGCCATTGAAACCCCCGAATATGTACATTGAACTGGAAGAACAGTGTGCGCTCAGAACGTTTCTCTCTCTCAGACTCCACTTATGGGAAAATCTCCAATCTAGGGATCTCCTTTGATGATAAACCAGGCAGTGAAGACTCGTAGTTAGTATCGTTTCCGCAGAATTCGAAGAGGTACAGGCCAGTGAGGAGATTCGATGCCGATTCGAAAAATGAAAATCGAAAAATACCAAAGGACAATCAGATGGTAACCCACCTATTGTAGGCCACAGCTGTGTGTCCGAAGCGACGGAAGCCCTGAGAAGCGGTGGCACTCTCCTTTATTTTGACTGTTTGCCATAAATCGCATTCTGTCCAGAGCGGAAGAAAATCGTTAGGGGCAGAAGACGAAGGAGTACATTTTCTGAATGCATGACTCATTGCGGCTAAATTATTATCGCTCATTCGAAATTATATTTCTTCTTGATTGCTCACCGATGTCGTACGCCAGCGTATCAGCTGAGAAACATCTGTCCCCCGAAGCGTATGACGTATCGTTATGAGTGTTTCCACCGAAGACCAGCATTACGCCATCGATTATAACTGACGAGTGTAAGTAGCGGTGCATGCCGCTCGGACGAAGAATTGTCCACGATCTTTTCGACGGTCGGTACGAGTACAGATAGTCGACCACAGCGCCGGTGCTCTTCTGCGGGGGGGACAAACAAGGTCTCGTCTTTAGAGGTCTCCCAGCAACGCCGGGTTAACGAGAAGGACTTCAGTATTACGTGGTGTCATCGACGAACCGACTCGCTGTCGCCGGATCTCAACTAGTCCGGATGTCCCGTAAACTCACCTGGGAATGGTATCCTCCGAAGATGAGCACCTGCTGACTCCTCTCATCATAAACCGCTGTCTGGCCGAAACCACCTTTGATCACAGCTCCGGTGGTTTGCACCAGCTCCCATTTGACACTTCCAATTCTGTACTCCTGCACCAAATTCAAATAACCTAGAGTGGGGTGGTGTCCGAAGAACACCAGCATCGATTGATTAACCATCACAGCGGCGTGACCCACAGAGGGAATGGGAGGACATAAAATTGTCGGGTGGTGACAGTCGACGCGAGCTTCGTTGTGTGACACCTGGGCCCATTCCAACTTCTGAGGATCGAATCTCCAGAGCGCGTTCGTCACATTGTTCTCATCGAACGTGTGCGCGCCCCCGTACATGTACATTGAGTTTTTGTAGGCCACGATAGAGTGACCGTAAGTGTTTGGAGGAATGTTGGCTCCGCGCAGTTGAACTTCGCTCCATGACCCGGTTGCGAAATCGTATCTGGAAATCGAACGAATAATAACGGTACTCAATGAGCCACAGCCTTGACGCTCGGCAATGCGATGCTTAATGAATGACTCGGTCGACGGTGCTCACCTGGCGACCTCGAGTTGACGTCTCTGAGTGAGAATTGAGCTGAAAAACTCCCCTCCGAAGACCCACATGGAATGATTGTAAACCAAAGCCTGGTGCATGGATCTGCCGGCGATAGAATCCCCGGCGATTCGATATAAATTGGCTGTGGATGACCTCGAAGGCGTCTTCGTAGCCAGAGGAATATTACAAGTTTCGCCTGCAACGCAGCCACCGTTATCCGAGGGCCAAAGCATCGGTAAGGGAACAGGGGAGAAAATCCGCTCCCCGAAAAGTCGAGACATGTTTCCGCTCACCTTTGAAAGCCGACCGACAACTACAAACTCCTCGATTAGCATCGCATTCGCCATGGTCGTTACAGTCATCCGCACATTGATCCACTGAGTATGAAATTTGGAATCCGCTCATGTTGTACACCGCATCTGAGAAAAAGTGCACGAACGCCCGGCCTGCTCACGGGAGAAAAAAAACTTGATCAGATCGCATTCGAAAAGATAGAATCCTGTATCGTCTCGCTGAGCGCTCCCTAGTCCCGAACACTCGAGTCGGCCTCCGGATTCTGTCACCCGAGCAATAATTGTAAAAATCACTGTCCCCAGTGTCTACGACTATTTCATATCGAGGAGGAATTCTTCCGAAATTCCGGACGTTGAATATCACTTTCTGTGCAAACTTCTGGCTCCGTCGACTCTCTGAGGCCCTCCATGAGGGAATCCGAGCGGGCAAGCGATCTTATCAGTAACGTTGTACGCTTTACTGAGTCGTATCAAAGGCGGTTAGCCCACGAAGGAACGCCATCCCTTCAGGGACGGACCCGACTACCGGGTGAGCCTCGATCAAGATCACGGTCACCTCTTCTGTGTGGCTCAATGACACTTCCATTAATGCGCCGAAAGTTTGAGCGCTCATTACCGCATCATGTTTATCAAATCAAGAGCGAATGCCACGAGCAGTCCGTCTGATGTATCGAGCGATAACGATCAACGGATCGTTCGCCGAGCCGACGAGAATTGATCCCACCGAGAGTCACCGCGGACCGCGGTCCTGAGACCTTGAGACTCCTTTCTTCAACGCGATGCGTCCTTCTAAATTCGAATATTGGGTACAGTCTTTCACTTTTCCTTTGCACGGCTATGTCCTTAAGTCAGTGATCGATACTAGCAACAATGGTCGGAATCTGCCGCTCTTGAATGCGGGAAACAATGGCTGACGGATGACCCGAAAGCCGCGGATCCCACATAAACTCACCGGAATGCGCGACTAGATCGGTGACTCTTTCACCTCCACCTTCCGGTACCAGAAGGCCTGAGTAGGCGGCGATCATTTCACCAAACATGGAATCACCGTCGAACACGTAGAGATGATCCCAGCCGCACTCCGTCTCAAAGCGATTCAAGCGCAAACGAAGGCTCCGATTGCGCGGCTTCTGCTCTGGAGCATCGCCGACGACGTCGATTAGCCATGTGCACTTCATGTTTTGAGAGTAGTTCCCCACTCCGGAGGTGATTATGCCCTCCGTATCGTTCAGCCTGGAAAATGAGGAAATATATGATTTTGTGAATTTTCGTTTACTATGACCTATGGATGTCTGCTGAGTGCGTGCTTCATCGTCGAGTCCTTCGATTCTGAGACGATCATCGATTCTTATTGTCGTTCTATCCGACGATACAAAGCTTCCTCGGCGCCTCGTGGCGTACGTGAACTCATCGAGTACGAATTACGCAAGAAACAGACAGCGACTTGCGTCAACCGTGATTTCAGGTCCGAAGGGGTGGGGGAAGCAATGGAACGCCAAAATCCGCGAAGACTGCGCGCTTCCAAGTGCGGATCGGGTGGCCCAGTTTCGGTCGCTGCGGGGCAGAGACGCAGCCTTCAAGCCACAATAGTGGCCTGATGCGTGAAGACTCGACTAACAAAAGTTGCCGACAACGATTGCTTCAAAAGTTAAGTTCACGGTGCCGTTTTCCACGGCCACAGAAAACATAGGAGTTCCTTGATGGCTGAGATATCTCTTTCTCACATCACATCTCAGGTCGGTGAGCTTTTGCCTACGCGCTCATAACGGACACAGATAAAAATAAAATTACTCATCAACTGCCGTAGAGCTACATCGTCGGCTCGTCGCCTTACCGCTTCCGGTGGGGATGATCGGAAGTTCGAGATCAAAAACCGTGAATGAAAAAATGTTTCCGCAAAAGATAATTCGCGCAGGCCATTCCCATCAGTCGCGGGTCGGGACAGAGAAAATAATATCGCAGAGAATCCATGTTGAGAATGTCTGGAATCACATCCGATAGACTTGCGAGACATCCTATTCGCGGTGAAGGGTCCTCCGGAGCTCGAAGACCCCTAAATCATGAGCGACAATCGGATACAATCGAATACGTTCGACGAGCTTATCCCCAATCCGATCGCGAAAGAGCACGATGCGATTCCAGATTACGGACCGCTGTATGAGTCTTATGTTTCGACGCATGATACAGCGAGCGAACTCGTGATGGGACAAAACGGATTGATGAGCGAAGCGAGTAGAAACACTGCATCCGGCCGACGAAGCGTTCCTCTTGGCTCAGCTGTTGCTCGCGGAAGTCTCCGGTGTTCGTTGACGCGCTCGACTGGAACACTGCCATGCCATCCGCTGCCGCCGCGGAGCCACCGTTTGAAACGTTCGTCGGTTCGTTCGCTCGCTTCAACCGACTGTCGGTCGGTCGCTTGCCTGGCTGCCGGGCGGACAGGCGGCCAGCTTCTCCAACACAAGCGCCGCCACCAAGTTCCACTGGCAGTGCTGCCAAACGGAACCAAACGGAAAGCAGCGACAGCCACTAAACAATTATTGCAAAACTTGCAATGTCTCCCTCGCATGCCTCGCTTTTCGGAGGGCTGCTCCATGTGGAAATGATTCAGCGCCGAAGTTCAGACAACCGAGTGAATCGAAGCAGCAGAGGTTGTGTGTAGTAAAGAATCGCCTAGTTCCCCAAGTTTGGACCAGGCTGGTCAGATGTATCGGGAGAAGTTCATGGAACGACCGCGGGCGGAGATCGGGTCGACCGATACGCGCCCTTCTCCCGGACCTGGACTTCTCATGGAGCGAAGAGCGATCCCATTCTCCTGATTCCTGATTCATCAATACAGACAATACCGATAAGGAACGAATGGAATCAGACGTCCGCTGGCAGATTTTGCAGATTTGAAAACACGGCAGTCCGGACCCGTGCGCTGTGGACACGCGTAACTCGAAACACGTGATTCGGTCAGAACACAGGTTAATCGAGCCTCTAGTTGATCCGTGGAAGCGTGATTTAACGCTACTTAAATCACGCTAGCCCAATCCGAAGTCGGCGGGACGCCTGGATTTCGAGTACAGAGATCATGTAGCGCCCGGAGCCCCGCAAGCTACAGATGCGAAATCAAGCGGAACTGTTCGAGAAACACGAGAGCATTCGCTGAAAACCCTTGTGATAGATGAAACGAACATGGATCGTAATTCGTGGGTTATTGTTCGTAGATGTGGAGGGTCGTCAACCCGAAAGAGTGACCACGCGACTGACCCTGAAAACATGGAGGACTGTGATCAGGAAAATCCGATCCGCTATCTCCCATCTTGGAAAAGTCTTTTGCTCCGCCAAGATGGGAGCTCAGAAGACCTTATCCCAACGATTCCTGACTGGAGACATTTTTTCCTCGGCTGTAAACAAGGCGTCGACGGAATCGCCCCCGCTTTCCCCTTAATATTCTCCCTCTCAAGGCTTTTCCCAGTGAATCCCACCAAAACCGTCTCTGATCTCGGCTCTACTGTTTCCACTTTCTGGGGATCTAAGAAAGTTCTCTCGTAAAGCGGTTCGAGAGTCGACAAGGCGGCTCAGGATCTGATCCGTTCCAGTGAGGCTGAAAATTCTGTCCGCTGATTGCTCGGTCTGTGCCGCAGCGAAGTTCGCGGTGTTGTTCAGCTAGCAGGGGCGCTGGCCGAAACCGAATCCGCTGGTTGAGGCGAGCTTCCCGAACAGCAATGAGCAACGGAGCCAGTCCGCTCGCTCGCTTGCCTCACTGAGCTCAGCAAGCTTTGCAGCAGCTGAATGGTCATCGAGACAGCACGGCAGCTTGACTCGAGTCAACCCCTTGCCGTCGTTCCCCAACGGGAACTGAGCTGGGGACGAGAGCCGACGTCGGAGGAAATCGGAGACCTCGCGGAATATCATGCTTCCCTCTTTTTTCTTTTCTATTTTCATGCGGACGGCTCGGAAACCGGCGCCAGGCCCTCCAAGTCCCTCCGGTCCTCGAGGCCAGAGAGTAACTATTGCGATAGAAAAAATCATGCAGTAGGATGATTGTTTCGTCTCTGACCGCGCAGGATGTCAGAAAGCCTCCCCCTTGTATGCATGCGAGAATGATTGACGGCTGAGCTGCTCGTCGGCGTTGCGACGAATTGTGATGAAGTAATGAGAAGCGCGTTCCTATACCTGAAGGAACTCTCGGCGGACTCCCAGGTGGTCCAAAAACTGTCATTTCCCGCAAACGTAATGTCGGCGCATACGCAGAGAGGCAGTCAGCTGGACGACGACCATACACGAAGTTTCAAACAGGAGTATCATGAAAAACTCGGAGCGCCTGTCGATGAAACTTGCGAAAGCTCCCACCGGAGACGTCTGGATCCCGACAGAACGGAAGCAGTGTGATGAAATAAGCGGGATAGACCGCGAGTCATTCCGTCAGCTGCAACCCAACGATGTTCCGTCTTCCATTGGAGGATCGCAGAAGTATAAGAAGACCTCAGCATATTTTTCGTTCCGCTTCTAAGGATTTACAAACCGTATCTTGGATCTGCACGCGACTACTGACTCCATCTATCCGAACGTGTTTGTCGCCGATGACCGAAAACCGTTGATTTCCCGATCTGGACTTCATTTTCGGCAAAAGACCGCACCTTTGGGTCAGTGGTTGGCTCACGGAAACTCGGGGAAGCCCTTCGAATCGTTCGAGGCCTAAGGCTAGGTTCTCTCACCGGTGCCGCCTTCGTGCTGATAACGGAATATCAAACTAGAACAGTGTTGATGGAGGAGTCCAAGAGCGCAAGTGTTGTACACAGCCACACTCCTCTTCACATTCTTCGTTTCTATAAGATCTCTATCGAGACTTCTTGAGACCTCCATTTTCTACTCGTCCTATACATGCCACCTGACAGACCAATGGTCAAGAGGTCCTGAGTCACACGACAGGTACCTCGTGGGAAGTGAAGTGGAGTGGGGGCCAGCTGTCATTGAACTACATGTCGTCGAAGACGACGACGACCACTGGCACTCTTCGTAGTTGTCGACGTCTTCTCCATTCGAGGGAGGCTTCACGTACCTGACTCGGCCGGTGCATAGCGTGCAGTTGTCTCCGGTGAATCCTGGATTACAGACGCACTTCCCTTGATCACAACGGCCGTACGTGCATCCAGCACAATCTGTGGCCTGGGTGCTAGCCTGGGTCGTGGCCGCAGAAGCAGCCCTCACAAGCAAGCAGACCGAGGCCGCTGCTGCGCAGGCCGACCACAAAAGCAGAGCACCCCTCATCGATGGCTCACATGTCCATCTGCATCCAACGACCAATGCGGCAATCCCCTCTTTTGCAGCATTCCCGTCTAAAATCACGAAATCACAATGGCTTCCTACACACCATCATTCCACTGCTGCTGCTGCTGCTCCTGCTCCTGTCTATTGCTCCGCCTCATTCAACTTGCTTGCCTTTTCTTCCCAACTGCTTGTCGTCTGCTGACACTCAGCGCCATTCCAAAACAAGGTGTCAAGCCAGGAAAGGGCGGCCGTGTCAAATAGCTTATATTTGATTCCTCGGCGACTCTCGACATAAATAAATCTAGCGCCTTGGTCCAAGCATACTCTCGGAGTCGCCTTCAAGACGTCGCGCCTCCAAGCGACCGCGGGATAGGTCCGTCGAGCGCCTGGAGTTGATCATAAGGGAGCGTTCTCGATGATGGGAGAGATCTGGCGCCAATATTCGAAATCGCTCGTGAATCGTAGGGACTTCTCTTCGCTGGAAATCGAGGAGGCAGGTGGCACATTCATTCAGGGTTCGGATGATTCCCGCTCCGAGTGGAACGGCGATCGACCCGCTACATATTTGGCGAGAATCAGGCGGCTTGACAGCCCGGTAGGCTTATGAGAAGTGAGAGTTCACCTCCCACGTCGATTAACTTCCTCGAGGATTAGGCGAAAAATGGGGGGCGCCCGATGTGCGACTCTTCGAGACGAACGAATTATGCTCGGGCCTCTAGTCGATAACGTAGTCTGCGAGCGAGAGGTGTCTACCTGCGCGGGGAATCTCGTGGCCTCGGGAACGGCCCTCGTGGTGACCAGATGGGATCTGCGCGGAGCCAGTGGAGCACGGGCGAAGGGGAGATGCGATCCACAGATTTGAGTGCGGTCATTGGAAGGGTCAGCTCTACGGCACCTGAAATCTCTAGGGATTCTGACCCACTGCCTCGTCTCGCATCGCTCTGTCACACAGCTCACAAAAATCACCGGTGACACAACCGCTGTAGAGGACTTTCGGTGAGAACCGGCACGGCCTAAGAATCCGGTTCGGCAGAAGGGTTCAGCCGCTCGCCCTCGAACGCGGGGTTATGAGGCTTTGATTGAATCGCACGAGGCGCCTGCGTGTGACTCCTCCGGATGCAGATTATCGAAGGCAGACATCAGCTGCATTGAAGTCGAATAGGAGTCCAGGGCGGGAGTAAGAATGACGGCGATCTGAGTGAGACAGGAAAAACTTCGATCCGTCGACGGTGAGCCTATCCTTCTGGATGAGTTCTCCGCATCCGGATCTCCGCGGCTCCCCCGAAAAAGCAAGTTGAAGTCGCGGCTTCTCCGAAAAAGCCAGGTGGAGTCGAAGCCCCCACCTAGAAAGACGAACGCAAGCCGCAGGCACATAACCGTAGTAGGTCTTTATTCCGATAGTATCCAATGTCCTCGGTCGGTTCTCTGAGCCTCCTCACCCATATTCGACTCCGGGAAACTCGTGGAAAGTTACCTCTACTAGGAAATCTTCAAAACCCAAGGAGCCGCCCCCCTCCCCGTTCAAGAACACTGCTCTGATCAGCGATATTCCTGCCTCCACCTATAGGTCCACGGTTGCCGCATTCAGCTCTACGGAATGCGAGAGCTTTCTGATAGGGCTGCTATATTTTATTTTGGCTCTATCCGCGGTCGATTGCTCCCTGTGTACCGCCTCAAATCAGAGTCTCGACTCCTCTTCTTTTTTCGGGTCGAATTGTCGGCAGATCTTATCCAGCTGCTGAACCACTTCCAACAATGTGAGGTTTTCGGTGAGTATTCGATAACGCTGTCCTTCATCTGAAAAATCGGTCAGGTTTTACGTAATTGATTCCGCAGCCGTCATCTGATTCCCCAGATATTTCGATAGAACTGATCCTCACTCAGAAGTAAATCGATCCTCGGTGGCGAACGATCACAGACGATCTCTGTCTTCATGGAACAAGAAGGATTGGTAAGTCGAAGCTTCTCGCCGTTCATGTGAAACAAACAGTCCCTGGAAAAAAGTCCCTCGTGAGAATACTGCCATCGATCCTACCATGGTGTATTTTTTCCCTCCTGAAATATTGGAATGGAATATCAGTTTCGAACGACAAGTCCTATGAGTGAAAGAACCGCAGAGCTGACCACTCGGCGTTGGTCGAAAGGGAATTCTTCTCCGTAGGAGAAGCCAGCGGCTCTTTAGAGCTGCGCCCCTTCCGCATCGGATTCGAAAAGGCTCCTTGCGCAGAGATGAACTCACCGGATTGAAGAGACTTGCGGGTGAAACGGGTCGAACTGGAAATTCATGCGCTTCACCGGTCTGAGCTGCATGTTCTTCAGCGTGGTGAACAGGGTACGTTCCAAGAGCTGTCTGTGCATATGGGCTGTCATGATTATCCAGTGGATGGGGAACAGTGCGTTCTCCGAATCAGAGGCCTCCTCGGTGCTCAGCGCAGTGCGCGGAGTTGCACTTGGTGGTGATGTTTTGCTTTGCTCGGTGCCGGACGGATCCGCTGATTAGCGGACAGTTCCTCTATTCATGAGAGCGACTACCCGAACTCACTGCCTTCCCCCCTCTTTTTTTTCACCACCAAGTCCGATTCTGCAAGCTTTCTGCCGGGCTTTGGATTCTCTCCGGAATCCCTATCCCGATGAAGAAGAATTTTCGGTTCGCTGTCGGCTTCCTCATCGAGATACATCGAACGGAATCCCGATGTGTGTGGGTTCAGAAGCTCGAAGACGTGAGGAGTGGGAGAGGGAGTCAGACAGAGACACACGTGCGAGTGTACTGTTCGCGTAAACAATATCTCGGTGCGGATTCGGGAACCCCAAAGCATTGTCTCTTCCCCTCGACGATCTTTCTGGGCTCTGACCCTCCGTCCGGACCAAGATGCAGAACGACGACGTGAGTGTCGAATTATTTAGAAGCGCGAGACTCTCGCATCGGGAACAATTCCCCCATTCACATTGACTGCGAGTGATCATCCGAGAGACCGATCTTGAATTTCCAGATTGTGTGGAGCATACTGAAGCACTCTTTCTGCTCTCATAAAGTCACAACGACAAGCTCGAACTTCTGTCGCAATGAATTCAACTTGACTGGTCTTTGTAACAGATCGTCTTGCCCTTTGGCGAATTCCGTGTACGCCACGATAAAGGAAGAAGATGGTAAGCCATGATGATAATGATGAGGACTCAGGTAGTCGTTGTACCCCTGATATATTATTCCGTGTATATGCGACACGAAGAGGCGGAGCCCCCAACCCAGACACTCGAATCGGTGTATGATCGTGCGATGCTGACGACTTGAATGCATTTCGAAAAACGTCTCGCACTCTGGTCCGGGGTAATATCGAGAATGACCGGAGGATAGGGAGATGATCATGCTTGATATGTTTTCCAGGGGTGTGTTACTTGTACATGAAAACGGCGGAGCGCTGTGCTTTCCCTGCGAAGATGTGGGAGAAAATTAAACTTTCGAAGAATATGGAAAAGGCACGAGAGCAAATCGACACAAATCTCCTCTACTGGCCGCGCTTCGTCAGATCGAAATGCCATCAGCGTCTACTGAAAATTCACCAGTGAGTACCAGGCTAATCGGCCCCGAGCATATTGTTTCTATATAACACAGATCATGGAGCTTCCTGTGGCTTGACAGATACCTCATACGCATGCGTCGTATGGCTTTGAAACGACGGACGAAAGTTGTGACCATCAACAAACGAATCGAGAGGCGAGAAAAGCGGCGAGAAGAGAAAGCGCTCATTGCAGCGAAACTCGATCAAGCTATCGAGAGGGAACTAATAGACAGGTCGGTGCATCGAAAGATTACCCCTTTCCGAACCATCCTCCAGAAGGTTCTGAATTCTGACCCCTATATCCTTCCAGATTGAAAGCTGGCGCCTACAAAGACATATACAACTTCCCACAAAAGGCATTCGATTGTGCTCTTGAGGAAGAGGAGGAAAAGGAGATGGAAATTGAGGAAGAGCTCGAAGAAGAAGTAGACGATGACGACGTGGTACGATTCTGACGAACGTCGAATTTATTCGGAACGCCGAGTGGAGCGATCAATTTTTCGCAGTCTGAAGTATCCTGACGAGAGGGCTTTGCTTACAGGGACGAGTGGAGTTCGTGGAAGGCCCCAGTTCCGACAGCGAGAGCGAAGATTCTGATGACGATGATGGAGACAACAAAGTCGGAGATATTGAAGAATGGGGCAACAAGATTCTGAAGGAGGCCAAAGACGGAGCTCCCAGCAGTAGTAATGGTGTAAAGAAGGGACGCGTGCTCAAACGGAAGAGAAACGTTGAGATCGAGTACGAGGAGGAACCCGAAGCGGATACGAGGTTGAGAATACGTCAATAAGAACGCGATATTCAGGGTGTGAATAAATACGAAAGTCAGTTTCCTGACTCTGAGCAGACTTTTCCCGACCCGACTCCGCGAGAGTCGGCTACACCAAAGGACGACTGACGGGGTTTTCACATATACAAAGTCGCGGACGACTCTCTTTTTATTTACACGAAGCCTGCGATTGAGAAACTAAAAACTCGAGACGTCGGTAGTCGGCACTCGAGTATCACACGGAGTGTTCAAGCGAAATATTGTTCAATGAGTGCGCCTCGGAAGCCATCCCTTTCACCCTGTATATAAGCTTTCGTTATCTTCACATCCTCTTGAGGCCTATCCTCCGCATCCGTTGCGACTTGGCCGATTCGTTTCACGACCGTCAGCCCCGAATGGACTCGTCCGAAAATCGTGTGTTTCCCGTCAAGCCATTGTGTTGGTCCCAATGTGATGAAAAACTGGGATCCATTCGTGTTCGGTCCAGAGTTTGCCATCGAGAGGACCCCGGCCCCTGGAATATCGGAATCGGAAATCGGAAAACAGGAATCGTCATAAATGTCCGCAGACTGAGATAACCGAGCGGATTGGAGATGGGATTTGGCTTACACGCTGTTAGGCATCATGCCTGAAGGGCACCGACAGCCCTGTATGATCAGACCATTTACCTGTATGATAGAGACCGGGATGGATTTCATCCTGGAATGTTTGGCCGTAAATACTGGCGCCTCCACGACCCGTGCCGGTGGGGTCGCCTCCTTGGATCATGAAGTCTGGGATGATCCTGTGGAACTTCACCCCGTCGTAATATCGTCTCCTAGCGAGCTCCGCGAAGTTTCGGCAAGTCAGAGGAGCGTGGTTCCAGTACAGCTCTACGACAACGTCCCCCATCCTTGAATGAAATTTCGTACGCGGTGTTATTCGAGCGGTTCCTCGCGAGGCGGAGTGGCCTTTAGCGCCCATGAATCCTAGAGAGCAGCGATCCCGGAGCTCGGAACATAATATTCATGACAGTGACAAGTGACGCGGTAACTCACGAAGTTTCCAGGACGACCTGGGGCGGTCGCCAAGTGTCGTCGGGGATTCCGGACATGCTGCCTATTGATATGAAGGTCTGCGAGTCGGCAAAGCTAGAACGAGCTCTCACGATCCGAACTCACCAGCGCAGATTTCAATCAACGATCTTTTAGACTCGCGACATCAACTCCACTGGCTCCATCGAACCGGGACCATCAAGGAAATCCCAGGTGGGGATAGATGGAGGTTGTGATTTGCCGCTCGATCATGAAAATGGCGCGCCAAGCGGTAGATACCAACGCTTCGTCTTGATGTACCGAAAGATCGTTCTCTCTTTTTGACAGAAGAACGAGGAATTTTCCTAGAGCAGCTGTGTTTCGGGCTTAGAACAATTTGGGAAATTTTCTGAGACCTCCCGAGGTGAGTTGGGGGTATCCATGGCATATTCCGCTCTAAAGGTCAGGCTGATCACGACTCTGACTCTCATTGAAGTAGGTAGTCTCGTTTTGCCACAGGTCATTCATGTCTGAATTGAGAGGTAAATAGTTCAAGAGGAAACTCGTTCGCCTGTGATAGCCCTGAGTGAAGAACTCGAGCTTCCCTCCTCGTTCCAGGTTCCAGGGACTTCCCTCATGGACAAGGAAAAAGCATCGGAAAGCAGCGCAGACGAGCCGAATTTTCTTGTCGCAAGATTCCGACAATGGTATCAGAACCTGCCACCGTACACAACAGTTTCTCTGACCAGATTCTACATTCCGCTTGCCGGTGCTGTGGGGTACTGCGCCCTATCTGTCAACGTGTTTGTGCCTCAGCTACTCCAAAGGTACCTAATTCGGCAAATGAAAGGAAACTCGAGAATGTCGCGCGTGAGACCCTCTCAGTCACCACTATCTGCGAGATAAGCCGCTAATATATTTTTGTCGATCGCGATCTGCTTACAGAGTGATTCCGCTCGGCAGCTATGGAGCGGGTAGCCTCTTACTCCTGAGCTCTCATCTTGGCGTTGGCTTCTACATGTTCTACAGGAGGCACATGAGCGTTCTCATGCCGTACCAGCGCACAATGTACTCGATGTACAGCAGTGTGCTCTTCAATCTCGGCTCTTTCCTACTCTGGGCTTTCGCTAGGAACGTCGTTCCCCGGAACGGCGTCATACGGTCGTGTTTCGCCGTCTCAGGCTCGGTGACCATGCTGAACCTCGGGATGGAGTACCTGGATCACGTCGACTCCGAGTTCCGCCTGTGAACTTGATATTCATTTGTACTGACAGCTAACGGTGTAAGGGCGGTGTAAGGGCATCGAGAAGCCGGCCTTGATCCCGTCGGTAATGGCGCCGGCGACTTGGGAATCGTTTTTCACCTTCCGGGATATGTATTCCGTCAAAGTGCTCCAAGGAGGACATGGAAATCTTGTGATGACATTGGAGTATCGGACCCGTCCGTCAGGGAATCCAAGGGACGGAACAATTTTTGGATAGTGGATCTTTGTTAGATAGAATGAGCGATTGTTCAATAGAGTGTGAGAACGATCAAGACGTGAGGCACCCTCAAAAGCCCGCCAGTCCAAGCTGAGCAATTTGTAAATATCTAGTAGGGAATGAATTTCTAGACAAGAACGTGTGAGCTCGATTTGTCTTGTTTCCGCCAAGGTTCCGTGCTCGGTTCCACCGGCAAGTGCTTGCGCAGAGGTATCTCGCTTGACCCGCGACTCGTATCTTGTAGGAAGAATGGATCTTTTCAACCGCTATGACTGCGTTTCCCGCGCAGTACCTTGGGAAGGCGTGGTGAAAAGGTGAAGAATACATTGAGCTTGACAGGAACACTGACACGAAATTCATGGACTTTATCCCTCTCCAATAGTCTATCTATTCCACGGAACTCCAATCCGGGGACTTCCTCTCGTGGGCGACACCGAAGTTGTCCTTCCATTCCGGAGAAGAAGATATCCCGTATATGGTATTCCTCGAACGGATGTTTCCCGAGGGGTCAATGAAGAACCTGTCCCAGGACACAATCTGTGAACGCAATAAGCTTGAATTGTAAGGTTTCATATGTGCCCATGGAAGATCAAGATAGATGAATCAATTAAAGAAGTTCGAACCGAATCGGACAGGCGCTCCGATTAGGTTCCGACCCTCAAGTGTTGCCCGCAGAATGGCCTAGAACGCACCGGTAGTACAGCCGGTTCCTCCGCCCCCTCGACGGGAAGCCGGTCGCGGTAGTTTGCCAAGTTCCGATTTCAGCAGATCAGTTGTTCTTCGCGACTGACGCTTGAGGCTTGCGTTCGGAGTCTCTGACTCGCTCTCCGACCAGATCGGGGCCTGGTTCATGACATCCCCTGATCAGTTTCTCCTAATGTATCCCCGCCGATGAATCGTTCTAGCTCTGAACGCGAGAGTTTCCCATATTGGGGGAGCCCAATCCATTCGCTCTCAACGACTGACCAATGGACGAGCTGTACCCATGACTCATTCGTCGAGATCCGATCGACAGCTTTTCGGAATACGCTCTCGCAGTGGGAAATGAACTCGAGTTTTCATTCCAGGGGACCGAGTCGCCTTTCCGAACACTTCGGCTCTCCAACGGGGAGGAAAAATATTCTTAGGCAGATTTCCGCGATGATCCTCATATTGTGTATCGCCATCCGTGACAATGGCTTCAAGCTCTCGACTAGCGCCGAACGCGTGACCTGAGGTGTTTGAGCGTCGCAGATCATCAACAGGGGGCAGATCTTTCTACCGATTGCTCGGGATGTTTTCTCCTTATTTCCCCGCCCGCGTAGCGTCATCCTTTATTGAGCCGTGACCCTCTCGTCCATTGGGAGAGTGTCGCTTTACGAGACGAGATCATGCAAGATTACCCCCACGCAGCAGCGCGCTTCCCCGGGATTAGCCATTCATATCTCCGTCAGCTGAATGTCCCTGTCCGGATTCTCCAGAGGTCTCAGGTCCTACGAGCCGAATCCACCTCATCGTTGACCGCCATGGACCGGGAAAAAACACTCCCAGAGCGCGTATGACAACGCTAGCGACCGGCTCGGATAATAAGGAGCGAAGAAAGTTGTGTCCATTCGGGATATCGTTTCGCACCAATTCTTTTTATCAAACCCGATTCAGTGTGAACAGAAAATGTGTCAGTTGAGTGGGCGGGTCTGGGCGGTCGATTGAAACTTCGCATAAAATTGAAAGTCAGATAGCCAGATCGGGCGCAGGATCGTTTCTCGACCTCAAGCATCCGCGTGGCACCTTGCGGCTCGCAGCTCGAGCTGAGAGCTCAGAGCTCAGACACACTCAGTTTCCGATCGAATCCTTTCCATTCCATCGCACCTCACTCTTTCGTCCTTATCATTCACTTTTATCCACTCATTCAAATTCGTAGAGTTTTTATTATTCCCTCTCGGAGCCGAACGACTTTTCGACAACATTTTCGGCGAGTTGTTATTTTTAAGTATTCGCAAAAGCGTGTGAGCGTCTTGTTGTAGTGTCATCTGGTCTGAGAGTGGCTACATTCCTGGGCTTTGTTGCAGCTTTCCGACTCTCAGAATGAGGTGTCGTAAATCTCAGTTACCGACTACATTAAGAAGTTGCGTCGAGGACACTTTTACAACATTACGTCTCTACTCTCGGAGCAGATAAGGCTACTTAGTCGAATATTGCATTGACGGCTTTGTTGAATTCGAGAGACTGGCGCCGTCTGAGAATGGCGCCGCTCTCGCCGAGTACTCGGAACCAGCCGTCGAGCCCGGAGGGCAGCAACGCTAGAGCCGAGAGTTCTCCGAGATTCGGAGTCTTAGATCAGGCTGAGTATTTTCATCTCAAACTGTTCCGGTAATTTAGGATTTGGACTAACAACGAAAATTCCATTCCTGATACGAATTATGGGAATATTTATGAATCGGTGTGACCGTCCAGCGTTTGCCAGGTCAGTGGTGAACTTATGCGAAACTGCCCGTGCACCAAGGAGGGAAGGAGTGGAAAAGAAGAGGGAGGTGTCACTTGTTGAAATAAGACCGGGTTTTGATTCCAGTGGAGCAATGCGGCAGATGGTGGAACATTGGTGTTTCAAAAATATATGGCTCTGTTCCTCGGAGCGATTCAGCCGACAGTGGACTATCACTAGAGCAGACTCACGTAGCGGTCTACTTGTAAACCCGAGCACTTTACGAGGCAGGACTGAAATGGAATCACAAGAAGAAAAGAAACAACACAAGAGAAGTTTATATGTTCCCCTGTCCGGGAGCGAGAGGGAGAGAGCGAGCTCGGGATTCTCCGGCTTGTTCCCCACTGGTGCCGCCGATGCTGGTAGTGGTGGTGTGAGTTGAGCGATGGTGATTGCCTCAGTTCCTATGGGACCATATGAGCTTACAGCCAGCTATTCGGTATAAGGGCCACAGACTTCGGAATCTTTTGTTTCAAACCGCAACTCGTACATCGACGGTACCAGCTTCTCGCAGATCACGAGAGCTCACCTCGAGGAGAGATCTCAGAGCTCGGAGTCGATGGAGCGAGGATGCGGAAATTTAAAATTTCCGACAAAGTTTCATGCAGGCCTGAAACCTCGAGTGAAATTTTAAGTTCCATTGGAAATCTCTCGATTCACAAAACCTTAGGCATATTTTCAGGAATGGATCGGACTTCTCGAAACGAAGCTCCGTGGATCGACACTCGGAAGCCAGGCCGAACCAGATTCCCGAGTTTCGACAGTTAGGCAGAATTAGATTGACCGAGAGGAAAAATCAAGACCTCCCGTGGGTGCACAACGAGCGCAAACGGGCTGCAGCTCGCTGCTGTGGGTAATGAAATGCTTGTCGGCTCGGGAAGACGATTTACTTATGGGATGAGGGGTGGAGATTGCCCTCATGGGGAATGCGGTATAGAGACGCCTGGGCGTGAGCGAAGTGGCCTGCCTGTAAGGGGACGAACAACTTTGCGAGAGCCAGATTACTCATGAGTTCGTTCATTGGTTGCGCTCCCTGCTTGAACGCTGTTACTCCGTTGTTTATGCTCCAACGTTGGCCAACATTTGCGAAGCTCCCCTCAGGAGACCCCGAGGCGATGTCGGCTGTAAAACTTGCGAAATTTCAGCCACAGCAGCGTCCTATCAGGAAGAGATGAAATGTCCATCGGAGAGGCGGACTGAGAACGACTCAACCATACTTAGCGAACGAAGTGCGAACAGTGCTTGTTAGCTAGCTGGAGGGAAATCTCAACAACAGCATGTCGACCGCTGCTTGGCTTGTTAGTGTGAGCTCTAGTCACAGGCGCGTTGAGGTCATTCATCATTCGGTCGCCTCCTCGCCGCGTTCCTTCATTAAATATGAAGTGAAGCACAAATTTGCCAGAGTTTGCCTGGTGTCAATCCCCTGATGGGAACGACGGGTTTCCTTGGGGGACGCGATCGGCGGACCGATCGCGCTCCGCGATAGCTCGATACTTACCCACAGCGACCTCTCATATTATTTCCTCAGTACCGAGAATGACCCAGTGGATTTCAGTAGCAGGAGCGAACGGAGGATTGAATCAGAGCGTTTAACCCGTCGCCTCCAAAGCCTCGAATGGCTGCGAGAGAATTCGTGAACGATCCTCCGCCGACTGAAAATGGCCGTATCATCCACGAAATTGTTTCAATGCGGCGGCTGCACAGCGTTGGGCGTAATCATAATTAATGGCAAAGAGGTGCTTGCAATCTAAGGCCACCAGTTCGTGAGCACAGCTGTCAACGCCTCGTGAGCCATTGGCAGCATTTTGCGAGATTGCCGGTCGGCCAACAAGCCGAACGTTTCTCGCGTTGTATCTAATTATAGCGAGTTCTGAGAGGCATTATAATATTATCACATCATCACGGCATCATCCTTACCATGCCCATCATCATCGACGGCATCGGCAGCAGCATCGTCGGTAGACGCTCTTCAAGGTGGTATGTTCGTCGCTTTTAATAACAGTTTATATTTTTTTCCACGTCGTGCGTCGATCCAGGGAAGCGTTCCGGTGTGCGTCCGAGACACCATGTACGAAGTGACGTAACTTTCACACAAAACAGATCGATCAGCAGAAATTCGATTCCTGTTTGACCTATCAGCGTCGAAAATACCGACCGCGAAAAACAGAGGATCCTCTGTGCTCTCTTGACTGGAAATGAATATTTTCGGAGAATATTCCCGACTCGGGAGCCTGCCGTGGCCTCGGGTCCTCATTGCGTCGAGATCTTCCAAGTGTAACATGGTTCTAAGAGCTTCGTGAATTTAGAATTTGATTTTGAAATTAGATTGTGGGAAGCCTGTATGTGGAGGCAGGCCCTGCGATCGATGGGATCTTCAGTAAATATTGGTCTTGAAAGCAAAATCCCATTTGACTCAAATGGTGTTTGGGGCTCTCGCTTGCCAACGGAGGAGGCGTATCCGCCGGAGCAAGCAACGCCCAGCTCCATCGAAACTTCGACCAGAAACGATCATGATCGTGAACCATGGAAAATATTGTTAGCCGCGCGATTACGAATACCGTTTTCGGGCTCTCGTCGAACGACTCCGGAACTCGCGCCCTAGCCCCGTGTCAGGACACAGGAGTGAGTGAATTTGTTGATGCTGAAATGAAAAGCGGGAATCGGCGAACGAACGGCAATCAAAATCGGAACCGGTGTGACGGCCAAGGTTTGGACTCAGCGCAATCGAAGTTGTAAACTGAGTAACGACGCGCAGAGCTAGAATAGTTTGGATCGTAAAGGTAGCGAAAAGGATTATACACCGACATCGATGGGTAAACGAAGCAATAAGCGGTTTTCTCGGAGCTATTCCACTTTCGACGGGTTGTTATCGT